AACTTTCAAAACAATAATTCAACCCATTTATCTAGAATTAATTTAATAATTAATCCACCTGATAAATTACTCATGAACTAAACAACCCGAAACATAAATTCCACCAATTTATCTAGAATTAATATATCAATTAATTCACCTGATAAATCACTCGTGAATTAATTAACCAATCTCATATTAACTCTGAACCTCTTTTACGGAAATGACACAAGTTACCAATATGAAGAAAATACACTATATTGTTACAGGAAATTATGTGAAGCAAAGGGACCCGATGGACATATACAAATCAAGCTCTTATAATCTCAACGTTACTTGTAAACCAACAAGTCCATCTCATGATTATAAAACTCTAGTGCTACTCTACTAAAAGCCTAGAGCTGCACTCTCGATTTATATAGCATATTTATAAAGCTCTGAATAGCTCTTGTCCATAACTCAATATATTAATATATCATCCTCATAGGATATCCATAATCGGCTTGAGGTCAAGTTCCATTTTACCTTCACGATTACATTTATCTTATGTTCCATTACCACTCCATCGAAAAACCACTATTCGTACCATTATAAATAGTAAACTATTAGACAACACAGAGTAGTTTAATGGTCAAGCGCTCATATTTTCTAATCCCCAGATAATGCATAAGAAGATATCATTGACTCTTTGTAGGCGCTATGGATTCCACTATCTATGAATAACGAATCTATGCATACACGAGTCATACCCCCAATGTACCGATAAGTGTACCTTTACATAATGTCAGGATGTCTCCCTTTGGTACATCAAAGGATACAAGTCAAGTATATGGGTTCATTATCCATCTCAGGATTAAGATGACCACATATAATTCGTCAAAAGTGAATTTTTTTATACAAACGGCATTATTAATTAAAATAATTCAACTTTGGTCCGACCTAATATAGATTTCACCATTAGAAACTGTATCAATGTCCCTACCCATGGAGTCCCACCTCCGACGACCAAGACAAGCCATCTCCGCTAGGAAGTAGACAACGTAACAATCTTAACATGAATAAAGCGCCCAATTTTATTCCCTCGATTGTGGATCATATGATTTAGACTATCATCTTTAGATTCCTATCTTCCGCATGTTTTTCTCATTACATGCATGACCTAAAGATTTAGAATGACAGTCTCAGACTTTCAGTTTGCTTATCATACATTCAACTAATATGAACATAAAGAGGACAATATATGGATATATGAAATAAATCAATCTTTATTAATAGTCAAAAGGTCTCAAAAAATATTGTTACATTTATTCCTAAGGGCATAAACGCTAAACGCTAACAGTGGGTTATGACCAACCATGCTTCCAAGCAAAAATCGAATACAATAAATGTCAAGGGTAAGCGTCAATCTCACGACGCAATCTGTAGCAATCATCATTGTCAATTGTAGAAAGAATGAAATCTCACCAGCATAAGAAAACTCATGAAGTAAACACTATTGAACAAATCACCCTCAAGAAATAGAGAAATGCATCAGTGAATCGGGACAAATAGCTAGGACATAAGCTAGAGATCACAAGACTAAACTTGTGCATCATCAAATTAAGAAAAGCAAAATAGGGAGGAAGGAAACTTTGATGGTCAAAAATCGCTAGATTCCAAGTTGTCGGTCTCCATCGACTTAAACCTCTTCGATATGTGCATAAGATATAAAAAGGGCCAATACCGAGAATTTAACTATACGGAAGTCAAAACAAATATCATCTTAAAATTGAATTTAGGAACTGACAAGAGTCATTAGCACTTGTGGAAACAAATCGATAAACATCGGATCAAAATCAAAACTTCACGAGAGTCTCAAAGTTAAGCTTCAACTTTAAGCTTCATATCGATAAACATAGATATTAGAAACATGGATTCCATCCATCAAAGTGCTCTAGGAAAATGAAACAAACTATAACGTCAAATTATCAAGTGTAACTATATCATCTAACAACTAGTATTAAACGACACGTCCCGACACTAAACTGTTAAAATAACAACAAAACTTAGTAGAAAACTCACACAGGCTCGATTCCCTCCGAATCTGAAGCCATGCTTTGATACCATGATCTATCACGACCCTAAAGGAGGCACCGTGATTATTGGAGTTTCATTTAAGGATTAACTTAATTAAACTGGGTTAATTAACTAAAATTCTGTGAAAATAAAAATAAAATATATAAATACCAAAATATATTGCTCCGGAATCTTTCTTTTACAAATATTATCAAAACAATCCATAAATTCAAACTTTACACAACTCTGGGACAATGCCGACCAATACAGTTTATATACAAATATACAGTTGATCACATAATTTAAAAGCAAACTACAAATTTAAAGTAGCACGAACCACTTCTAAGCTAGAGCCTTCAGTCCAAAGACGTCATCTTACTACACAACAAGACAGGCTACTAAATTTGGAGGGAGAAAAACATTTAAAAATAGGGATGAGCCGAATGCTCAGTCGAAAAGTAACAGGGTACGTCAACAAAATAAGAACAGAGATGATAGTTACAATAACCAAGATATTAATTTAAAACCATAACACATGTAAGAGAAATTGTCTGAAACCTGTGAGTGTTAGTAGATACCATCAAATGCGGAATGAGGTCGATAATCAAGTATCTCAAAACTCCTTTAAAATGCTATATCATTCTCAAATTCATTTCAAAGTGACATGATATCAATCGCCCGTACAATCCACAAATACTGGGTATTTGTATTTCTGTTTAAACACTAGAACACCCAAAAGCAAGAAAAATTAGAAGAAATATAAAGATCATATGCTGATAGTTTAAAATACTCTTTCAAAGTACCGATACATCATCTAGTGTAAGTGCAAAGCCATTTCACCACCCACGTTGTGGAGCGGCCATACGGGTTTCGAGACCTGTCCCTAAGGATACGATCTTCATATCCCGATCTCTGTGGCCATCATGTTGAATAAACTATCTAAACACTCACATGGATAGCGTTTACAAACTTACATATATCGTGCTCATATTATTTCAATTCAAGACTTAATATTTTTCTAAAATTTACTTCTGAGAACCATAATTCACGAAAGTCAGGTTTCCAGAAGATTTTCTATATATATGTTCGCTACACACACACACACACACACACACACACACACACACACATATATATATATTCAAATTCTTTTCGAGAATCGTTTAAAAATCTCAACATCGGTGAAACTAACTTTTCACCAAGAAACAAAAATCCATGAAGTATGTCGAAAAAAAGGAGAGAAATGCAACCTCATGCTCAAATGAGGTCAAAACTTGGGAAATACGGTAAACTTTGGCTTAAAATTAAAGTTTTAAAAGATTTGGACGGAATTAGTTGTCACCGATCGACCGGTGGTGTGTAGTCTGGTCGCCCGCACTAGGCTGTTCTTCAAGTCATGAACAGCTAGCCGATTGGCGAGAAAAAATGCCAAAAACCTGGATTTTGTGTTTGATTTCAGAATAAACTCATGGAAGTCACTTTAACCAGTTTCCAAATGCCAAATTATTATTAGAAATCCAAAAGCCACATGCAATTCATCATATTTTATCAAAACTTAAGCTCAAGACCATAAACCATCAAGAATATCAATTTCTAGAACTCAACCCTCTAAAATTCAAAAATTTGAAGCAAATTCAAAGAAATTTCATGATATCTAGACGTGTTCTTCAATTTCCTTTCATCTATCCCAAATTTAGGCTCAAGTAAAAGAGGAATCCAAATTTAAATTCATGAGGAGGAGAGGAAGTAAACCCTACCTCATAAATTGAAGCACTTTCCTCATAATTTCTTGAGGGCTTTCCATCTTGACATCGTCCTCAACGTTTTGAGGTGGATGGTGTCGACCACCACCACCGGAAATGGCAGCTCACGGCATGGATGGCGGCGGAGCTCCGACGAGCTACCGAGCGTGACAAATTCCATAGGCAATATGGGTGTCGTCTCGTTTTTCTCTTCGTTGTGAACTCTTAGAAATAAGAATTACTCGATGCCGATCAAGAACAAGTGAGTTATTGAATTTTAAAATTGAGAAAAAAAATTTTGGGAGAGAGAGTGTTTGTGTTCGGATAAAGAGAGAGATCCACGAGAAAGGGAGGCAGAGAGAGAAAATAAATATGAGAGAGAGAAAGAAGAGAAGAAAGAAAAAGAAAAAGAAAAAAAAAAGAAAAAATAGGATTGGACTTTCTGTGCAAATTTGATAATTAGACTTTAAAGCTCAATCTAACTAAAATATGTAGTGGCACACTATTTCTCTTCTAAAGAATTTATTACCATACCTCCAACTGAGGGACTGAAACGAAAATTTTTAAAAAATAAATATTTTAAAAGAGAAAAGTCATTTTTATAGTAATTATAACTAAAATTTTTTTACTAATCTCATATTAATTAATATTAATAACCAAATTAAATTAATTTAACGAGGTGTTACAGAAGCCCCAAACCGCACACCCCGCCTCCTCCACCATCTCCGACTGCGAAACCACACATCCCTGCAAACCAAAGAATTTTTCATTAGTAAAATTGCGAAAGAGTATGAGAGAGAAGTCAACTTTCATCAAAGAATTACCCTTTTGGTAGAATATTAAAGGATTACTGTGTCACATATGGAAAATTATCTTGTGAATTAAAATATTTGTTGAAGTTGAGCCGTTTAGTTCATTCATTCGAGTTTTTAATTTGAGTTGAGATGTAATTTTATGTGAGAATTTTTTATTGTAATAAAAAAATTAAATATGATTATTTATGAAAATTTTTTACTATAATAAAACTCAAATTTAGAAATGAACGGGGTTATAATTTGTCAAAGTAAAGGACAACTTTGGGTAAGGATAGAAACAAAAGTAAACGCACAAGTGAGGTTGTCTCTACAGGGTGGCCATAAACCAAAACTAATTCCTACTGGTGAGTCTTGCGCCTATTATTTTATTGGAAAATAACAAATACCACGCTTATTTTCAAGAAGCAAAAGAAATTTCCTCCCAAAAGAAAGAAAGAAAAAAAAAAAAACAAAAACAAAGAGAAAGAAGAAATGGAGGGACAGCAATCATGGAAGCCAAGGTTGTCGTTCAGGAACGCCACCATTGTGTTGTGTTTGGTGAATGTGATCTCCGTCCTTCTCTTGCTTCAGGGCTTTCTCTCCTCTGCTTCTTCTCGTTCCAAAATTTCCACCTCTCAACTCACTTCAGGTCTCTCCCTCTCTCTCTCTCTCTCTCTCTCTCAAGATTTTCTATCTAAAAGAACCAAATTTGGCACTTGGGTATTGAGAAGATTTGCAAACCATGCTGATCCTTTGTCTAAATTTTAATTCGTTCTCTGCTTTCTGCCATTAATAAGTTATACGAAGAAGAACGAAATTTTGGCACTTGGGTACTGTGAATATTAGGAAATCATGAAGATCCTTTATGTGAATTTCAATTCTCTCTCTTTCTCTCTGTATGCGATCAGACAAATTTTCTGAAAAAAAAAAAGAACACATTTTGGCACTTGGGTATTGTGAAATATAGCAAATCATGCTGAGCCTTTATGAGAATTTCAATTCTCTCTCTTTCTCTCTGTGTGCGATCAACCAATTTTCTGAAAGAAAAAAAGAACACGTTTTGGCACTTGGGTATTCTGAATATTTGCGAATCATTCTTACCCGTGACGTAAATTTCATGGATTTTTTTCGAAGTTGTATGGTATCATTGAGGAAAGTTATGGGTTTTTGTTGGTTGGAGTGGAATTCTGTTGTTAGATGAACAAATCCTAAATGTTTATGTGGGACATTTTTTAGCTTTAATGTAGGTTAATGGAGTTTTGTTTTCTGCATTAGGAGCCTATTTTATATCATCTTGTCTGATTGCAATTGACAAAAAATTGGGATTTATGAATGAAAAGGAAGGTTAGGATTCAACAAACACTAGAATATAAGGAATAGAGGAAACAACACTTTCCTGGAGAAATTCTAGTCCATTACATTTATGGTATAATTTTATCGATCAAATTTGCCAAAACTTAGATCAAATTACATAAAACTTTCACAACTTCTTTTTTCAAGATTAATGCAAATTACTCATGTTATAGGATTTCATGGCTTTAAGAAAACCAAGGTTCGTCATTAAAGGTCAATGCTTTGGAAAACATGGATGCTTCTATAGTTATGAGTTTAAATATATAGCTAAAGATATGGTTTCTAAAAATCATAGTTTCTAACATGGAATACTTACTAAGATTCCTATGATGTATTGTTGATTTTATTTCGCATTCTTTGATCCTTTTTCCATGTATATGAGAGAGTTGGATATCCTTTCTCTGCGTATATACACACATACACCATTATTTGATCCTTGGTCTGTGTTTTTCTCTGCATTCTAATGGGAAATTAAAAATTGCAGCTCAACTCAGATACATCAAGGAATCTGAAGAGATTCGGCTTGCGATGCAACCTTTGGAACTGATAAAAAGGGTACGACATTGGTACTATTATTGTTTTTTCTTTGTTAAAATTCTTGAGTACCTTTTCAGGCCAATGAAGATTGATATCCACTTGAAAACTTTATGCATATTACTTTCTTATTACTGCTTCCCAATGAAATTTCATTAAATTCGAAAATGTTTCTTTATGTTTAATATCAAGTGGAAATTCACCTTCTCGAAATTAAGAAACAAATGCATTTGCTTCGATATGAATGTTTCTATGCTTTTTAGGTAAAGGAGATTCAACAAGAGGCATATGTAGAACCAGAAACAGTCAAAGTGAAGGACACAAAACAAACTGCGGCAGCTGATCTTTCTAAAAGATTAAAGGATTTGCGTTCTTTTAATGATGCAAATAGCTTGAAAGGTTAACCATCGTTTCCTTTGCTTCAAAACTTAGTGCCCCTAACCCTGACAGACACGTGCTCAATATTTCCTTGGAGTATAATTTCTTAGATTATTGGTACATAGTGGTAGATCATTTTGCCGCATTTTTAACCTTTGTCTGATGAAGCAAGCATGCTATAATGATTGGTAGAGGCTTGTTTGCTTTTTTATTTTCCTCTTTTAAGCTGATAGAACTACTTTTTTAACTGAAATTCTCCGAATTTCACTGCTAGTACTTGTTCTGTTTGTAATTTCTGCCATTGTTTGTTATTGTAAATTGGTCTATTTTGAGTTGAGATTTGTGCCGATATTCCTGTAAGTTTGCTATTCTTCCATGTCAAACAACTTTTAAGACTGTAGGGTTAGTATGAAAGTCTCGACAATAGTCAGCAATTTTGTACCTCTACATGTTATAGACTGCTCAAACTCAAACAATCGAATTTTTTTTTATTTTTTGCAAATGAGCATGAATCTTATTGATTAAGCACAAAGCACGCTAACATTTGTGTCGAATATATGTCTACAGTTGCTTGTTTGTGTTGAGATTAGACACGCTTTTCACCTAAATGTTATGCTAACACCGTAGATATTGAAATACCACTTTTATGATCAACTTGATTCTACTGATTTGCGTAAAATGTTTGTCAGCTCTGGAGGAGTGGCGTAAACGGAAGATGGAACGAGCTAGGCTGCGCCAACTAGAGAAAAATGAAACACTCGCATCTCAAGCTTGACAGAATGTCATATAGAAGTTTACGGCTGGGTTGATTCTCCAAGTTAGATCCTTAAAATGAAGGAGCTCCAAGTTATCTGAAACCTTTTCTTTTCCCTTCCTTTTATACGTGTATATAACAGAATAGTGACTTGAACAGAGTCCATGTAACATCTGAGAATGCTTTTCTCTAATAACTAAAGCTAGTACTTTGAATACAAGTTCTATTTTTTTATTTTTTTAATTATCATTTGGATTAAAATAAATTGGAGGCGTTTTTTATTATCGAACATAAATGTGATTTTCTTTTTGCTGCTTAGTAGAAAGGTAAACTCTATCAAGAGAAGCTTCTTGGTGACTTTTTACAAGTTATAAAAGTGTTTAGTCCTAAGATTTAAATTGATTAAACTACTAACAAACATTTGATCCAAGTGTTTCTAATCAACTTTTTAGTGTATGAAACTTAGATTGTATTAAAGAAATTCTATAACCGAAGATGGATAAGAAAAATAACAGAAACTCAAGATTAAAGCTTGAAGAAGAAAAGGAACAATTTTTCTTGTCTTGTAAAAATGTTTAAGCATCCATATTCAATCATTTTGGCCCAAGCTTTCAGAAAGATCAAAGTCGTCATAATGGCCTTACGACACATTAAAAATGTCGTTTAGTGCTTTCAAAGTTGAAAAGATATTTTCATTATTCCATTTAAAATATTCTAAAATGTTTTTGTCCACTTTCTAAAGTCAAAAATCTCAATTTTGGCGCTTTGTTTTTACATGGTTTAAAGTGACAAATTGTTGATGCCTATACTGTCCGGTTAAGACCAATCAACCGGTATTATTACAACAACTATTTGTTTTTTTTTTTTGGCTTCCTCTAGGGTGGAACCTCTTAAATGCTTTTATTAATAGAAGCGCTATTATTAATCCTTTGATTAAATTTTTAACGGTTAGATCTGTAAAGAGAGTCGTATTATACAGTGCACTATAAATTATTAATATTGACCTGCAAAGATATGACCGTTGAAAATTAAATCCAACAGTCAAAAACAGTGCTTTCACCAGTGGAAGCACTTTTGGAGTTCTACCGTATAATTTGCCTTATTTTTTATTTTTATTTTTTTTTATGAAACGCAATAGCATAACTTCATTAAAAAGCCACTAAAGGGTTAAGATATAAGATAAAATCAGAGTTAAGAACCGGGTGCAGCTCATATGATTAGACAATACAAACGCACCCTTTACCTAATAACGGAGAAAACTCAAAATGACTCAAGATGAACCACATCTTAGTCCTAAAATGGGCTACATAACTCAGACTTAGAGCAGTCAGGAGACCACCCTCTACCCAAGACATAACGCCGGTAGATGGAGACATCATCACCATTATTTCAACACAAATATAAACATAAAAACTCTACAAAGATCCCACGAAATCAAATCAGCAAAAGCGAGCCCCTCAATGCTGGAGGTGTGTGAAACACGGTAGAAGTGGCGACAAAGAAAAGCTTCTGAAATGGCAACAAAAGCACTGGAGATAGGGCGGCTCATGGGACCCACGTGCCACCACCAATGAGCAACGATTGCCACACGCTCTAGACCACCTTCCTCACCTCCCTTCCACGATCTAGATCCCGGAGTTTCAACGAAATCTCGTGGCGAACGCGTCCTAGATCTAAGGTAGAAGATCAGAAACTGCTTCTCCTTAAACAACTCCATTTCGGTGACTATCCACATGTCCGTCAGCACGAACCCGACTCTGGTAACCTCTGCGATCTCTTCGACAAACTTTGGAGGCCGGCAGCCCGACGAATAGCCGAACCACTGACCCAAAGAACTCCTCTAAATTTGTTGCAAAACACCTCTCTCTAACTTTCTCTCTCTAGAACTCTGACGACTAGGGTTTATTTTTTAAGATTTTCTTATTTTTAATAGCTATTAGACAGTAGTCAAATGACTATATTTTAAGGTTTTGTATAAATTTGATCAATCTGACATTGTTTGGGTCTTTTGCCAGTTTAAAAACCACGTCCAAGCTAAAGTCTATCATGCTCAAATTGCTCACACTTTTGAGATTGGAAAAGACACTTTGCGCCAATTCATATTTGGGATATTTACCTTTTTATGCTCTGTGTCTGGAGTCTATTTCAAAATTATACACTCGGTTTTGATCTAATCAAATATATGTCTTCAAATTAGATTTAATATCTAAATTTATAATTTTTATAGTCAACCTTCTATTTTAAATACAAAAAACCTAAAGTATCCTTAAATGAAAATGAAAAAGAAAAAAGCAAAAAACTAAAAAACTAAAAAAAAAAAAAAAACTTAAAACTTACGGTTTTAACCTTAAAAATGTCCAAAATACCATTGAAATGGTTTTTTTGTGCTTTTAAATTTTATTTTTTTAATATTGGAAAGTTTTAGTTTTATTTTTTTTATTTTTCTTAAGAATAGTTTGGTCATTTTAAAAATCAAAATCAATTATTGACTGAGATGAGAGATAAATTTGTATATTAAATCTAATTTGAAAGTATACATTTTATGAGATTAAAAATTAAAAGTATATATTTTGAATAAAACTAAAACATAGGGTATATAAATGTAAATATCCCTTTAAATTTTGCATGTTTTTACATCTTCTGAGCTTAAATAGTAACAAATTCTATTAGAAGGAACCTTTGAGCTTATATTTCTCATTCTACATTGATTAGTCCGAGTGTGTCAATTGCTTGTTAATTCGGTGTTATAGGTGTTAGTGTTACTGGCTTTTTATAAATTGATGAGATTGTAGAGTTTGTAACAGGTCTCTGGTGGAAAATCACCCAATGTACATGGTGTAATCAGTATCACGCCGACAATTGTTTAGCATAGTCCAAGAAGTCATAGCTAGACAATAGTGGAACATATTATTGAACCACTATAAACTTTTGTTTTCTACTTTAACTCAAATTTTTAGTTACATTTTTTTATATGTGAAAAAATACTGTAGTAAATTTTTTTTTTTTTTTTTGAATTTTTGTGAAAAAACACAGTAAAAAAAGAAAAAAAAAAAAAAAAAGAGTTGCGAGAAGAACAATGCTGATATGATTTAGAATCCTCAATTTTCGGAGATGCATTTATCTGACTAATTTACAGACATGACACTACCAGAAACATATAAATTCCTGCATTTAAAATCTACAAATACGTTAGTCACGCACATGAATTGGTTCATTTCCAGAGGCAGTGGTTACAGCGGGTTATATCCAACTTCTTGGCCCTACCATTTGAACATAAACTCTAGTGCATTTAAGTTTGCACCCCATATAGGTAGAGAAGACTTGCCTCTCCATTAAACTAAATTAAATTAAATTAAAAGCTTGTATCTATCAGTAACGGAAAAAAAAAAAAAAAAAAAAAACGCAGGGCATCAGAAAGATGGTTTTTACACAAACACATCAGTTTCAGTTTCTATACAAGTTTTACTTAGTTTTGGACTTTCATATATACAATACAAGCTGAAAGAATTCAAAAAAGAAAAGTCTAATATAAGTTAGGCCTACATGCTTCCCAAGGCTCCTGGCTGACTGGTCCTCTTTGGATGCACAAATGCTTCGTTCTAATTCCTGAAATGGAACAAAAGGGCATTCTTTCTCCACTTTTCTTCGGTGACTGGAACATTTGATCTTGGGCGCTTTTTTACACTTGGAAGCACCCAACATCCGAAAAGGTTGAGGACCAGAAAATCCAGGAAGCCGGGTCAAAAAGCTTCATATAACATATAGTAAGAGTCCAATCTGCATAATGTAAACGAAACTAATGAGCATGAATTCCATTCAACTTGCAAGTGCATAACCGGTACTCAGTGTTATTATCCGTTCAGAACGATGAGATATTCTGAAAGCGAAAGAATCAAGCAGAAGGAACAGGTTATAGGAAGACAATTCTAGAGAGGGAAACCGACAAGTTTTCAAGCATAGATGTTGTGAAACAAACAGGATTTTCTGATGGGAATCATTTTTCTTTCATTCCTACTCACTTTTTAGAGCGTTAAACAAATAGGTTTGCTATTTCAGGCGAAGTTAACTCAAGTACATTACTTCTACACAGTACGTGTATCAACAAATTATCTGAGCCAACTAAACCAATAGTACAGCAAGTCATCCCAACATAAAAAGAACATGAAAAAACAAAAAAGCATAAATGATGCTTATAGGGAAAGGGAAAAGAAGGCAATACAAGAATAAAATAGAAGCGAAATTAAGCACTAGCATCAGTGTCTGCACTAAATCAGACTATCAGATTCATCAGACTCGCCCGTGCTGGAGCAATGAATCACTGGGCCAACCAGATCCAATGATAATACTACTATGTTAAGGCCGGCTCACCACATCTCTCTCAGGAAAAGAACGCACGAACAGCACAAACTGACCACCTTATCACCATCTTGACTCTCTCTCTCTCTCTCTCTCTCTCTCTCTCTCTCAACTATAGAAGAAATATAAATTATTAGCCGAAAGAGAAATAACTACTCAGGAAAAGGATGCAGGAACAGAACAAAGTGACCACCTTATCACCATCTTAATAAACTACAGCCTTTTTCAAGTATTTGAGAGGAGCAAAATAATTAAGATAGATCCAATGATGATATCCACAAATAGCTTGCACATATGACATGCATAGAGTAAGAACGCTAATTAACAAGTGTACTAGATAATCGAGCTTCCAACAAAATTTCTACTTTAAAGTAACGTGATAACTTCTCAATCTGCTGAAGTACCAATTTACCAGATGTACTTCTGCGGATAAGTTTACGGGAACCATAACCAACAAACGGTTCCTAGTTTCTTGAAGGGAGAAAATGCCAATGTTATTATACACCAACAGATTTACACCAAATTTACAGACCCACTTTATTTTCTCAAAAAGGAATATTTATAAAGAAACAAAGTGATAGGATGTCTTGAATGTTTCAGCTTTCAGTAGAAAAACGATTTTTCATAAGAGGAATCAGAACACCTAAAGCTCAACCAAAGAATAACGTTTCACATTGTAAAGCCATAAGGTACTAGAAAGTCACCCCCAATAGGAGATTGTAAACGGGAACTTTTCCACCCTAGCATTTTCTAGGGATTTTCTGGGAAACAATAGCTAAAAGGATGAGGAAAACACCCAAGTGCTCAGTCTCTTATAGCAGGGAAAAAAAAAAGAAAAAAAAAAACCATAAATAAGCATAACGCCTGCCATAGACTACTATCCATCAATATCTAGTTAAAATACTGTTTTGCAAGTGATTACAAGAGACATTTTCTTTACTTTATTTCTCTACGCTCCTTGTTGTCACTGCAACTATAACACTGTCCTTATCTAATCATCAAAAACCCTACCTTATCCCCTAACACCAGTAGTTATATCCAAATTAAACACTTGAATAGGCATCCAAAGTTATCATTAAGTAAACTTTCTCAGTTGCTAACCAAGAGTTTTGAGAGATCTAGTTAACTACAAGTGGAACTAAACTTCCAAGTAGTGAATCAATACTCGGACCAATCTCAATGCTTCACTTTACATACAACCAAATAGAATATGTGAAAATAAATTTACCACTGCACCAACTAGACTAAAATCCCTCTGGATGCATAAATATGTACCTAGAGCAGATGACGCAAGACAGCAAATTTAATATCTAAAGTATTTGTCTCTGCACATACTCAAAAGGCCACACCTAAATGTAAAAAAATTTAAAATTAATTAAAAAAAGATAAGCTGCTGATGATTCTAGCATATTGCAGTACCAAGGTTGAATTAAAACCAACGAATGATCGCAATCCAAGGGTAAACATAACACAGTAAATAACTCACATGAATATAAGAAAAAATAACCATTTTGAACCTTAAAAGGAGAAAAAGTGCTCAATATGAGTACAAAAGACAATCTAATCAAACACAATTTAAATCATAAAACATGAAAACAGAAAATAGCACGACAATATCTTATAGATCTCGGTATAATTTAAAACACAGCATAAAAGTATAGAACAAATAAATAAATAAATAAATAACCGAATATTATTTGCATTGCCAGCAATTCTACAATAGCGAGACATGAACTCCTCCATCAAGCCAAAATTTTAAGAGGTCCTCTGAAGTATACTTAATTGCATGATGTCAACAATGGTTACAAAAGGAATAGAACACCTAGCACCTACGACTAAAAATAGCTCACATTGGGCTAGGGTCCGGGATACGACAGAGCAACAAGAGGATTGATATCAAGTGAAAAAATTCTAATGAGAAGCAAAAGATGCAAGCAGATTCAATTTTGAATCAAATAATGCAACTATTGCTGAGATCAAAGGTTGAGTTTACCTCTGTTAATCACGTCTCCATAACTCCACCGAATATTCAAAACTACATCATGCCCTTTAAAATTACTTAGTTACAGATAGAAAGTTTTGGTGTCCATTCCTCAGCCACACCATAGTCAAGACTGAGCTCCCTCAGAGGAGGGATGTTTTCCATTGCAAACAACATCAGGTGCGGAAACATTAAATTGTTGTGGTCATATAGCACAAACTGCACCATAACATTAGGACTTGAACTGTGGGTCATATAACAAGCAACATTCCTCATTTTCGACACATCAATCGCAAAATCCAAAGGTGGCACTGGGGGATATGCTGGACGTACATAGTCCGCAAATATTTGAGACAAATCCCCCCATTCGGCCCATCTATCAGAGAACCGCTGTGGATAAACCAAGTTATCACCATTCATTGAAATGACATGCGCCTGTTCCCTTGTGAGCACAACCCCAGTATACTCGCATATAAAAGCACCGGCATGTATCAAGTCCAACGACCTAACTCCCCAACCCGTTTCCATCGATCTAAACACCTCCAGTCTATTCTTCAGCCCATGTTGCGTGACCCTATTGCGACACTGTGGTGGACAACGGCAGAATGGTCCACATTCAAATACCACAGGCTTGCCTCTCAAGAGAAGCCCATTACTATCATAAGCAAACTCGCCACCATTCTTCATAGCACAAAAACAATCCTCCGCGCAACTTGAAGTGCACTCACACCCAGTCCCATTCCCCGACTGGTGATATGCAAACGGAGGGAACACAGTCCTCACAAGATAGTCATAGTACAAAGGCTCCTGGTCAGAGTCTATATTATTGAAAAGCAGAACCGGGTAATTCTCCTTCTGCCTCGAGATATCCAAACTAAGATAACCCACAGGCCTCAACGCCAATGGCTTAGTCCTAAGACTCGTAGCAAACTTGAGAACAGAGCTACCCATCTCAGGTTGCCCATCAATTCTCACCAATTTATACTTATAAACACCAAAACCAGACTTTCCCACATCAAACCAACAATCCATTATCCTATATAAGCCATCATAAACATAAACCTTAGCGTTAGCTGTAATACTACCAGGGTACTTGATTCCTCTTATAACCCTTACCTCAATCCCATAGAGCATACTCCTCTCCAAGGCAAGATTCCCACCTTCCAGCTTCTGATGACAACATTGTTTGTTGAACTTGTTCTGCCCACCATGGCCTGTATAGATTATCACATCACCGGCATCTTCGTCGTCCTCGTACCCGCCCGAAACGATGACACTGGTCGCAATAGGCTCGCCATTGGAGCTCTGGCTCGCGGGGACATAGTCAATTCCAGCTTGGACCTGACCATGCAACCCAACGACGCACAATTCCATTCTGAAGAAGAACAAATCCCCAATGTAAACGCCGGGGATCGAGCCGACGATCCTCTTGTCCCTGTTGAGCCACAAATCGCGGTCTTTCATGACCGAAGAAGCCCTTAAATCGCCTCGCATCCGCCTCGTACCCAGCCCCAGGCCCTGCTTCTTCTCCTCCTCCGCCGCCGATAGAACCCTAAGCGAATCGAAAGTCATCCTCGTCCTCCTCACGACATTTCGGAAGTACCTCTCGTCCTCGATTCCCAGATTCGTGACGCGGACGAGCTCCGCCGATCTCTGAGTCCGCTTCCGAGGAATAATGACCTCTGCAACCTGGTTCTGCTCCGGAACGGGGACGATTGCTCGCGAATCCGGGTGGGAGTCGGGAAGGGCGCCGCCGTTTTGCTTCGAGAAAGCGGTCCTGAAGAGCTCCGAAATCCGGTGGAACTCCGAGTAGACATTGTTCTCGTCGGAGGACATGGCGGAGGTCTGGGAGATAGGCGAATGGCCGAATCCTTGCTCCGAGAAAAGCGCGAGCTGCTGCTGCTGAGAATTAGGGCTCAGGTTAGGGAAGAACGGGTCCTGAGGAACTTGCGCCTCTTGGAGCTGGTGCGTTTGGGGTTCGTGGAGCTGAGATGCAAACGTTTCATCAAACGGCTCGGTCTTCGGCTCAAGTTTGGGAACCTTCAAGGCGATGGCTCCGGTCGCCGACGACGGAGCGTCAGGGAGAAGATTGAGATCCTGAAACGGAAGGAGAGAGCCCATCTGGTATCAGAAACGAAGTTCAGAGGAAGAGAATGGGTGATTTACATGAAGATTGGTGAGATTTTGTCAAGGTTTTGCGCATAGCTTGGAAGGTGCTTTCATGGCGGAATTTGAACTTTGAGAGAGAGAGAAAAAAAAAAAAAAAAAAAAAAAAAAGAGGGGGAGGGAAAAGCAGGGGGTTTTTTTTTTTTTTTTTTTTTTTTTCTTTTTTCGGAAATTCCGTCTAAACAAAAGGAAAAAAAAAAAAAAAAAAAAAAGAGGGGGAGGGAAAAGCAGGGGGTTTTTTTTTTTTTTTTTTTTTTTTTCTTTTTTCGGAAATTCCGTCTAAACAAAAGGAAAAAAAAAAAAAAAAAAAAAAGAGGGGGAGGGAAAAGCAGGGGGTTTTTTTTTTTTTTTTTTTTTTTTTCTTTTTTCGGAAATTCCGTCTAAACAAAAGGAAAAAAAAAAAAAAAAAAAAAAAAAAAAAAAAGAGAGAGAGAGCAAAGCAGGAGGTTTTGTTTTTGTTTTTTCTATTTTTCTTTCAATCTTTATTTTCTTTTCTTTTTTGTTTTTGTTTTTTTTCCTTTAGTTTAGTCGGAATTTCCGAAAAGTGAAAAAAAAAAAAAAAAAAAAAAAGATAATAATAAGAAAGAAATCTAAAAGAAGCGGAAGTTGGGATTGTTTTGACAGAATTGCCCTGATGGACCCGGCATGGATAATGGATTATGTCATTCCAATCTTTTGAGAATGAGCTTTTAGGGCAGACCCAAAATCGCCAAAACCTTAAAGTTGAGTTAATCGTGAGGTAATAATGTTTGAAATCCGTTGTGCACTAATTGGTGTGATAGGATCATGGCAAGTTTGCAGGATAAAAATTAGTTCTACGTTGTTTTGCGTGATAAATTTTATCAAATTGTTTTCGGTTTTCTTGAGGAAACGTTTTGTCAAATTAAATACTCAACATTGGCTAATGACTTGCGCTCGAAAAATTGAGCTGGATACAAGTCCGACTATAAGAGAAAATCCAAAAAAGAAAAAGAAAAAAAAATGATATAAATAAAGATATTTTATCAAGTTAAGTGTCTTTTTTGTTTACGATTTCAATTATAATTCAAACATTTTTATTAAACCTACTTATAAAATTTTGAATTTTTATTCTATGGACCAAAGGGGTGATTATTTTATTTTTATTTTTTCAATTTCTCTTTTTTAATCTACTTTTTTCGCAGTTGCTTTTTTGCTTTTTTTTTTTCATCGTTTACTTTAAAAAAATAAGTGAGGATTCTGTCTTGACCATTATAAAAGTGGGTGCTAATTTATCGTTAGATTAAGTCTACAACCACTTTATTATTGCTTTTTTTTATATATAATAAAAGTGAAAAATATAACTTAAAGTAGACATACTTTTGATATGAAATCACCCTTAATAGATTAAAGTTTGATATTTTTTTAGCGCTCTTATAAAACGCGACATGTGAGGTCATTCTCATAACCGTCTGCATATCATCCTAGTCTATTGTTTAAATAGAAAAGAGTTGAGGACAAAGGCCAAACCTTAAAAATAGTAGGTAAGATAATAATTTAGTAGAGCTGTCAAATGGGCCAAGCCAACCCAATATCGTGGGAGCACATCACCAACACAACATGTATTCAGCACGACTTAACGCGTTAATCTATGGGTAGGACCGACACTAGAAGTTACAACTTAAAATTGACACAAAAAATATGTCACTTTTGAGTTGAACATGAAATTGAAATTTGAGCACGACACGAAAGTCTTAAAGACATTTTCTTAGAAATTATTTTGCGCATTGCATATTTCAGATTTTGTCAAAAACCTTGTGATTTTATGATAGTTGCTCTCAAAATCTTATGTTACTATTTACTTAATTTTGATGTATGTTATCACATTTTTAAGAGTTATTTTAAGTTCTTTACAATGTATAAAAAAAAACTCAAGAAAAGTGTATAATTTGCTTGTCAATATTGGATTTACAGGTATAGTGTCAACCCATAAATGGTCACATCGTGTTTATGTTGTGATTTTTAAAAATTTTCGTATTATGGGTTGTGTTTGGATTGACGTTAAATTTAAGAAGAAATTGTTAAAACACGACATATGACATGAATTGTTATCTCTCTCTATGGGATTGTTCTAATGGATGGGCTAAGCATTGAGCACGTGAGTCGAACTCACACCGACATGTTAGGCACAACATATTTAGCATGTCAATATAAATGTATTAAGAATGTAGACTATGCTAAATATAAATGTGTTAAAAATGTAAACTTCTTTCTTTCTAATTGCTATAAACTAATTGAGTAACTTCAAAAAAAGAAAAAAAAAAGAGTTTTGACAATTAATTCAATGAGTTAATATGCGATGTCGCACTATGACCCATCAAGGCATGGACTATAGAAAGAATAATACAAACACGTGAAAAATATGTTATTATACCGTTAAACATTTCTTTCTTGTTAATGATTATACATTAATGGAGCAACTTTAAACTAAAACCATGTTTTGACAATTACTTGAATTAAGGAAAAAAAAAAGACAAATACTCGTTTAGAGTTGCATGAGTATATATTTTTACTTTTTACGGTTGATTAATATCATTTTAATCAAATAATTATACTAGTCAAAATGATATTGACTAAGAATAAGAGATAAATATCACAACTCATACACTTTTAAGGATAAGCTTAATAATTCTCTCTTGAAAAGTAATGGATCAATATAATATGGTACGACACTATCGATAAAAGTATGGGTCAGGCCAATAGATCATTTCTGACTAGGTCGTGTTTGGGGTTGCACTAGATGTTTTTGGGGTTGCACTAGATGTTTTGAGAAGTAATTATTGCAGAAGTTTTGATGAAAAAGGTGTTTGTTAAATACACAAATTTCAAGATTATTTGACAAGTTGATGCTTAGAGTATCTTTAATGCAATGTTATAATTAATGAGCTAATTACAAATTTAGCATTTGTGTGTAAAAAAATAATTTCTAATTCAATGTTATTTGTTGTGTTAAATTTCTCATATATTATACTTTATGGTAAATTTCTCATCAAGTATAACACAGATAAAATTTAACATTTGATTGTTCTTAGTTGAAATGTTTACTTTTTTATATAATCATTGTAACTTTTATATTTTTAATTATTATAAAAATAAAAATTTACTTGTATAACTTTTAAAATTTTATAAAAAAATAAATTTAACATTTTAAATAACATTATACATTTAAATAAAAATAAAAATAACATATTATATTTTAATATTTAATATTAAATATATAATTAATATTAATATTGGAAATGGTAGAAGCACCGCACAGGTGCTTTTGGTTTTGGCTTACGAAAAAAGCCGCTGCCTCCGTGAAAGAGATCTTGAGTTTCCAACATTGCCATCGTAATATAGTCATAATTTCAAGTTTACCTCTTACTTAAACAGGCACTTAGGCTGGTTTCTTTTCGTTCCTTTTGTTTTATTTTCTTTATTCATTTAAAGCTGGATGTACTCGTATGACGTGGGGCGTATTTGAAATCTGTTTTAAAATAATTTTATTTTTTATATGTAAATAAAAATAAAAATATTTTTAATTTTAGGCAAGAATTAATTTTAAAATAATTTTATTCAGAAATTATTTTTAATATAAGAAAAAATTAAAATTCTGTTTGGTTTTACATTTTTAAAAATATGTAATAATATTTTAAATAATACTATGAATAATTACTATTCTCTCCAAATAATACACTAATAATTAATATATTATATAAATATCTGTTATATATAAATATTGTACGTACTAATTTTTAGTTATAGTGGTGCACGTAAGTAATAAACAATTAAAATACTTATTACCATTACCATTAGTGTTGACGGTGAAAACTCGTCAACAGAAATGGGCCGGGTCACTTTTAGGTATCCCGTTGGATTACCGGCTTATTATTGACTGTATACTCAATATATGTTGTGATGTATTTGTGGTATTTTTTGTGTGGTGTGCAACGTGAGAAAAAATACTTGAAGCACAAAGACACGCGAAATTTATAGTGGTTCACTCTTATAAATGAAGAGCTACATCCACTGTAGTTTTCTATTTCTTTTGAGATTGTTACAATTTACACTAACAATTGCTCTCTCGTTCTTTTCTCTCGGGAAAAAACCAACCTCCTCTTCTGTATGATGCTTCTCCCCTTTTATAGTCGAGCTTCCTTCGTCAGGTGGGTTTTCTTTGTAGGCAGAAAAGCACTCGAGTGGTCTGCCTTTCTAGCCCATACCGTAGCCCACTAATCACTTTTGCGCACTGTTCACTCAACAAATTAGTCTCCCATTACGGCTCTGTGCGTACCTGTAACCCTTTGCTGTCCCCCGTAGGGCGGTTTAAGGGTTTGCATTTAATGCATGTACTGCAGACGTCTCCCATTTCCGCATGCAACTTACGATGTCAGGCTTTCCCTTCTTCGGGCATTCCTCTCGTCGTCTCTATTTGCTCAGCCTAGTTGTCCCGAAGGATTCCTGCCGTAAGGTCGACAGTACGACCTGTCGTCGTCATGAGGAGTCGGCGTCGAAGGCTGGGCTTCCCTTGCAGTAGAAAGAAAGGGAACCCCCACCGTCGAGGGTTGTTGCCTTTTGAGAGAAAATAAGGCCACATGTCACACTGTTATTTCTCCACGTGTCATCCACATTTTCCCACACCACAATTAGCAATAAAGTGAATGTCCTATATTATCCTTTTTAAAATAACTCTCCCAATCCCCTTCAGCTGCTTTACTAGTACTAATTCGTCTACAATATCAGACCAAAGCTTTAGGGCAGACCCAAAGCTTCCTTATTGAACCCACCATCCATCCCCATAACTTTCACTTTCCTTTTGCCTTTCTTCCTAACTCTCCCTCACTCATCACCACTCTCCATATGCTCTGGTGAAGAAGCTCCGCCGTCTTCCATGGCTTCCACCGCCGCTAATCGGAACGGAACCGGTCACCGCGGCGGCGTCAAGTTGGATCGCCTTGCTCTCAACCTCAGAATGTCGTCGTTCAAGTCCAGACTCCCTCCTTCCCCTCACTCTTCCAGACCCACTAATTATCAACTAAGATGGAGGAGAAAACCTCAACTCGTTTAGACCGAGAAGCTCAACGATTAGAAAATG